ACTGGCTTTATCAGACATGGGGGAAGCTTCTGGCAGCTTCTCACAGAAACCACCCCTATAGCCGCCCCTCCTACCAAAACCTTGCCACGCAAACCCATAACATCCTTAAAGGAGAAAAATACTTCTTATTGGCTTTTCAAAATAACATGTTAAAGTATCAATATTCTAATACTAAAAATGTGTTAAGGGGGGTGCCTTTATTAAGTGTTAGCTATATAGGATATTGAATAACTTTTATTTGAAAGAGACTGCATGATCTGAGTTGTAACATAATGAAAATACCTCAGAAGCACAAGGTCCTGAAACTGAAGGGGGTTGTTACAGAGCACTGTCTCATTACTTTTAATTTTAAACTATGTCTTCTTTTCTATTAGATTTCCTTGCTACTACCTATATATTTTATATTGTATCTGCTGCTATGTTTATATTCAATCATTTTGTTTAGGTCGCACCTTTTTTTTGCATTGTCCGTGAAGGAGATGTTTATAATTTCTGTAGTAATGCAGAGGCTGCATTGATGGGATACTTAGACAGAGGGAGTTTTCTGTCACTGCCAAAGGTACTCTTTAGAGTTTTGTGTTCAGAGCCAGCCGTTCTGTGCCTTGCCATCTCCTGAAAGAAATAATCTTTCTTATTCTTTTCCTTCATGTATCTGAAAGAGAAGACCAACTTCTTAGTTTCTCTCCCCACATCTTCAGAGGCCTAAACTCTTATAATACTGAAGAAAGATGCTTAGAATAATCTATAAAACAGATTTATAATCCATCCATTCATAGTGTTCTCCTTTCACAAGAAGTTGCAAGTAACTTCTGAATACAATCAGCAAAGGAGATTTTTGGTGTGGAAAGTATGAATATGCAAGAATAACAGGAAAATAGTCATGTCTTGAATAATCGGTCAAAGCTCCTCCTTATTAGAGGGAATGGATCATGGTTACTTTTCATAACAAGGTAAAAGTAAAGCTGGGGTTGAGAGTAAACTATTTCTACTTTTTTTTTCCCCATTGTACTTAAATATCACTGAATCATTTAGGTTGCAGGGGACCTCTTGAGATCATCTAGTCCAATCCCCCTGCTTGATCAGAGTCACCAAATAATGGTTGCCCAGGACCTTGTAAAGTCGAGTCTTTAGTATCTCCACAGATGGGGACTACACAACCCCTAAGGGCAACCTCTGTAAACTCACAGTAAAAAGGTGGGGTTTTTGTGTTCAGAGGGAATTTTGTGTGTTTTAATTTGTGCCCATTGCGTCTTGTCTTGTTAGTGGGTACTACTGAGAAGAGCCTGGATCCCTCTTCTGTATTCCCCCCATCAAATATTTATACACGTTGATGATGTCCCCCTGAGCCTTCTCTTCTCCATGTTTAACAGTCCCAGCTCTCTCAGTCTCTTCTCATATGAAAGATGCTCCAGTCCCTTAATCATCATTTGGCCCTGCTGTTTTGCTTCAGTAAGTCCATATCTTTCTTGTACTGGGGAGCGCAGAACTGGGCCCAGCACTCCAGATGAGATCTCACCAGTGCTGAGTAGAGGGGAAGGATCACCTCCCTTGACCTATTGGCAAGGCTCTTCCCAATGAAGCCCAGGAAGCTGTTGGCCTGCTTTGCCACAAGGACACATTGCTGGCTCACAGTCAGCTTGCTGTCCACTGGGACTCCAAGATCCTTCTCTGCAGAGCTACTTTCTAGATGATTGGCCTCAAACTACTGCTGCATGGGGTTGTTCCTCCCCAGATGCAAGACTTTGCACTTCCCCGTGTTGAACTCCATGAGGTTCCTCTCTGCTAGACAAACTGCAACACAACCCTCTGGTGTATCAGCCACTCTTCCCAGTTTTGTATCATCAGCAAACTTCTCCGGGTCATTAATGAAGGTGGTAAACAGAATTGGACCCAGTACTGACCTCTGACATACATCACTAGTGACTTTCCTGCAGCTGGACTTTGCATGACAGATCACAACTCTCTGGGCCCACTTGTTCAGCAAGTTTTCAGTCCATTATACTGTCCCACTTATCCAGCCCATACTTTGTTGACTTGTCTGTCAGGAAGTTATGGGAGACAGTGTCAAAACCCTTACTAAAATTTAGATAAGTAACATCCACTGTTCTCCCCTCATCCATGAACCTAATCACCTCATTGCAAAAGGCTCTAAGGTTGTTGAAGAAATATATAGTACTGTATTTCCAGAATGTAAACTGATCACATTATTTTTAATGTGATTAATGTTAATAATCACATTATGTTAGTTTTTTCATGGAGTTTCTGTCTGAAGAGAAAATTCTAAAAACCCCTCTATGAACACTGTATGAATTACTCTAAAACTGAAAATACTGCTTCTTGTAATAATTTTTTTAGTGCTTTGGAAAGAAGAAAACACAGGGGAACGCTTGCTGCAGACTGAACTCTACACTGAGAAGATTCTTTAGAATATTCTTCTGTTTCAGAGCTAAAGTACCTCAGAGCTTTCCCTTAGAAGGTTCCCTTCCCCACTTCCCAATTTAAATCACAAGAAATCTAGTATCATAATGACAAGTAAGGTCACACATTTTCCTTAGGACTGAAAAAGCTACACCTGTACTGCAAATATGTCTTCAGAACATCCTAGTATTGGTATGAAGTGATGCACACTGCAGTGTTTTATGAAGAAAATGACTGGCGATCTGGTCCAATTTATTGCCATTGTTTGCATTGCTGTTAATAACTGAAATACTTAATTTGTAATTCTGGTACAAAAAATTACTATTATTTTGGTCTCACATCTCACTGTGTAAATAAGCTGGGCATTTCCATAATCAAAGTGATACAAAATAGCAAAAAAAGGCTCTTATAGAGCTGGAAAGTGGACCTGTATTTATAATTTCCATGCTACTTCAATGTACTTGCTCCCTTTTTGGATTTGAATGTATGTCGTGTTTCTTGAAATGCTGCTTTTAATATCTGTGTAATAGAATCTGGCTCAGCTGGAAAGAAATAGCTACCCTCTATAATCACTGAAAGGTTTTACCCATTTTTAGTCATTTTTATGTTGTTGTTCTGCTGTTTTCTTATTAATTTCAACAGTTTCTTATTATGGATATTTCTGTGTCGCTGCATCACCATTCCAATATTCCTCGTTGTTATCAAGCGTTGAGTAAAAATATTCAAAATCTTACCTACTTTGGGGTGATAGTGAATGTACATCTCAGGGCAGAACTTAAGCAGTAGTACTAATGCCATAAGCACAGGTAGGAATAGGCATAATAGTTTCAGTGCTGGACACCATGAATGAGGGGGTCCTCCATTCTGGTTATCCAGAGTACTGATCCTGTTCAGTCTGGGACTCCTCTTGGGCATCCTCTTCAGTGCCTGCACTTGTGGCTAGGGGATAAAACAATTTCTTAAGAATAAAGTTTGTGCTGCAGTTTAAGCTGCAAACATACCCATGCATTTCTCCACCGCTGATGATACCATTCTTCTGTACTTCTATTAGCAATACTGAAGCGCCGGCATAGGCAGGCAGCCACATCCTCTGCTGCTTTAAGTACCATTCACGGGCCTTCTCTCATTGCCACTACTTAAATAAGTGTTTGTAATAAAAGCAGCAGCAGCTAGTGGTCCATCGATCATGGGGTTTCCAATGGTGCTAGCACTGGGGAAGGTGAACTGCTTTGGCAACGGTAGGAAATCCCAGTAGCATTGCTGGAGGTGTTTAGTAGTGATGCTTAGAGGTAATCCTACAGCTCAAGAGTGAGTTCAGTGTGGTGCTAGGTACAGTTGAGGGAGTCTTCTTCCATGCAGGACCAAGCCTGAAAGTGACAAAGATGCTCAAATTAACTACAGTTGATTAGAACTTCACTCAGGGCTACATCCAGGCATACTGGTTGTATGCTGTGAACAAGATTCTGTCTCTTTAACTGATAAATGGTGGACTTCAGTCTCCTTCACTGTTTAATGCCTTTTCTCGGTACTAAAACTCACTTAGAAAAGATGTTTTCTACTTGCCAGATGGTTATTTTAACTAGAAAGTATTTTATCGTGTATATCTCAAAGGCTGATTTCGATAGCTTATATGTGGTTTAGAACACTTCGACTCTGTGGAAAATAAACTGTTTTTTAAAGTGGCAAAAGATTGCTCCTCAAAAAAGTGCAGTCTCAGTAGACTTTGTGGAATTACTGCTGTACACTGTCTAAACTCTGACTATGGTTAGGATAGGTGCAGAGCATTGCCTTCTAGGACACCCGTGAGCCTCTGGGCACAGCAGGCACTAGTGGAGGCAGGCTGGGTAGGTCAAGTGAGCAGAGCTCTGCAGGAGAACCAGGGGACCTGGCTCGATGAGTGGCCATGAGCAGCTCAGTCCTGTCCTCTGTGCTGCTTTCTTCCTCTAAAACAGAGGCAATAATACCTGTGTAATGTATTGGGACATTTTCTGATGACAATTCCTGTGCAAGAGAGAGATCATTTTTATCATCCTCAGGCAGAGTAAATTGACTTTAGTTCAGTCAATGCAGCTGTAAAGCTTTAACTAAAGGGTTTGATCCAAGTCTTCACAATAGTTCTATGCAAGGGATTATGAAATTTCTATTATTTACAAGATTCTCGAAGTGAAAATAGGGTTTGGATTGTGAGACTAAAGGAAAAGACCCTCCTGATCATATTACTATTAGAAGCCTTGGAGTAAACTTGAAGAGGAAAAGGTTGTTTTGGAGTGAGATACTATTTTAATTCAGTATTTTTTTTTCATTTCTTATTTTATTAGGTTTGTCAGGGGATTTCTTGCGCTCTGGACGATACTCTGCTCATACCATCAATGGTGCCTGGTCACCCTGGTCTCCATGGTCTCAGTGCAGTCGTGACTGCAGTAGAGGTATACGGAATCGGAAACGGGTCTGCAGCAATCCTGAGCCCAAGTACGGGGGACTTCCTTGCCTCGGCCCTGCTCTAGAGTACCAGGAATGCAACATTTTGCCTTGTCCAGGTAAGAGTCAACTGAAATTAGAGAAGTGTGTGAAAATAAAATAACTCATCTTCAGTGCTATATCTTGCAATAGTTAGTTTGGGTTTTTTGTGGGTTTGGGGTTTGTTTCGGTTTTTGAACAAACTACATCTCAAATTTTCCTTTACAATGTAAGTGGATTTGGGTAAGAGTCCCAAGTAATGTCAATCAGTTTATCATCAACAGTGTTAACAGCTATGTCTTTTTTCACTTGTGGGATTTTGACTGTAAAAATATAATTTTAATAAGTAAACTTAGAAGAGAAAAAAGACATAAGAAATCTGGCAAGACATGAGAAATTTGGCCTAGTCTTTATTCAAACTCAAAATATTATTTTCATCACAGTGGTTGCTGGCATTAAATCTATGCTAGCTTTTGAGTGTAGAGCCTCCAGCAAATAAGGTTCAGGACTTATCACCAAACTAGATGGTATCTCAAGTACGCTGTAAAGATTGTTCTTGGAATCTTGAGCTTCTCCTTCATTGAAAGTTGGTTTATGATTCTATAAAAAGGGTTACAAGTTGAATATAAGTTTTCAGGAAACTACTTTAGGTTATAAATCATTGTTGTATGTTAGACATTTGGGGAAAAAAAAATCTTGGTTTCAGTCACCTCTCACCCTGCATAAAACAGACACCCAAATACAGAGGCTTTTGAGCGTTGCAGAGGCTTTGTGGAAGAAGAAAGGGGTAAGATATAGGAGAACACATGAAGCAAAAAAAGTGCAATTGGAATAGGAGGAAAGAATTCAAAGCATGAAATGATAGAGAGGAAAAATGATAATGACTGAGAGACTCGTTGCTTTTCAGTATCAACAAGTAAATTTAGAAATAAGCTTTCATACATCTTTGTATTAATTATGTATTACAGTGGTGCATATTTTATTATTGAAGACTGGAGCTTTTGGCATTTATTCAAGTGTGGACCTGAAGGGTTACTATGGCAATATACATATTAGATATGTATATTACTGTAATAAAACATACATGTGTGTCGATATATCTATATGGTTACAAGTTAAAACTGTGTTCCCTAAATCATGGATATTTTTTAATAGGAGTATTTTGTCCAATCTTATCATTGCAGTGCTTTCCCTAAGCTTTGTAAGCCCTTTGGCAGTCACTGTCTATTCTCTCCATCAGAATCTAAGCAGTAGATCTGTGCAGAAGAGAGGGCTTCCCTTTCATGAGGACACAGTTTCTTGAAAAACATACTTCCATCTTGAACTGAACCAAAGTAATATGTTCTGGCAGATATCCCACAAGCCCAGCAGCTCTGTGAGTGTTCTGGCTGCTCAGTGAAAGTGAACTTCTCCACAGTTTCGTGGCTAATGGGAATGGTAGGATTGCTTGGCAACTTGCACGTCTCAGGCAGCTCCCTGAGGCATTGAGGCCTCCAGCTCTCCTGCCAATGGGGCAGATCCAAAGGGAAGTTCTGCTGGGGATTCCTGCTTCAGTCTGGGTGGACACCCGTGGAGCCATCAAGGTTCGAAAGAGGCACAAGAAGCCAGCACTTTCTGATGAAATTTCCTTGCTGCATCCACAGAGGAGGAAAGTAGCTTTAGATACTCATTGAGTAGCTTCTCAGTCTGGCAGCGTAACATCTGAGGAGATCAAGGGGAGAGATTACATGCTTCTTCCTGATCTTAGAGGCAAGATTAGTGAAGGGGGCCGTGTTTTCTACACCAGGAGGTGCAGGAGAGAGGGGAAAGGGAATCAGCAGAGAACCAACAGCTGGCAGAGAATTATAAAATTGTGGCCCAAATCTTTTGCTTGTTTGCACAGCCCTAGTGCATGCTCAAATTAATTAGTTCCCGAACTGCAATCAGAACACCTAGCTTTTCTTGAATAATAAAATTAGAAACAATTCTGTTTCATGTGGCTGCACTGTTCATCTGTGAAAAATTTTGAAGGTTGACAGTAATGCATTAGGTCAAAGATTTAGGAGGCCATTGTACTGACATGTGCAAACCTCCCCAGGGTTGCAAGTAGTAGGTGAAGCAAGCTACAACGTAGCACCTCCTCATCAGTTCCTTCTTCCCTTGTAAAGGGAATCCCTCCATGCGACACTGTCTTCAGCTTCCTTTGAGGCAGGTGAGTGGTGTGGTGATAGCTAACAGCTCTGCTGACAAGCTTTAAGATACCTGATTGTATTGCCATACTGTAGTAACTGAGGTGCATTCATTAAATGGGCCCAGATTATCTATAGCACAGGGCCAGATTTTTTGTTCATCTCTTGCTGTTGGTTCTTAAATTAAATGCTGTCTTGAGTTTTATTGGATTTTTTCCAAAGTTAAAGGTTTTCAGAAGTGGTATTTCTAATTAGCTATCCAGCTATTACAGTTATATTTTTTTGAAGGAAATTGTTCCAGCCAGTAAAACACATAGTTACGCAGACATAAGTTCAGTGTAGAGGCCCTTGTTGTTTATGAGTTAGCTAATACCCAAAACTAAAATACATGAAGTTGTAAGACAGAACTTGAAATTGTGCTTTATATAAGAATTACTCCCTCTTCTGCTGTCTCTGAATTTGAAAATATTTTTAAAGATCAGTTGGTTTAAAGTATGGTTGGCCTTTCTGAAGCAAGAAGGGGTATCCTAATATATCAAACAACTTTCTTCAGAGACAAGTTTTGTTTTTCTTTTTAGTTCAAACTAAATTTGAATAAAGATGTAGAGCTTGAATGAAGTATTTAGATGTATGATGGCCTGCAAGGAATCACAAAGTTCCTTAGCTACAGAACTACCGTTTGCCAGTAATTAAGAAGAACTGTAACGGGCCAAGTCAGATGTCAGGTAAATCTAAAAGGAAAACATTGCAAGCAGTAGATTTTAACTGAAATTTTTTTTCCTTTAAGACATGGGAGAGTAAAAAATGATTGCAGAAGAAGTCTTATCCATAAATTAGACCTGATTACAGATTCATAGAAAGGGAATATGTTTTAATTAGAGAAGCATACTGATGAAATTGAATTCTCTCCATTTTTGATGTAAGTCACAGAAAGTTAAATTAGTGGGTAAACATGAACATCTATTAGGTTGACATTCATGAGACCTCATCAAGAAAGGGGAAACATGAACAATAGATGGGTGAAGAGCCTTTGGTTCAGTCCCACGCCCCATTGTACAAACCTGGCAGACCCCACAGCAGGGAGAGTAAAAACCATCAAAAGAAAGCACGGTTGGATCACAGAATCACAGAATCACAGAATGGTAGGGGTTGGAAGGGACCTCTGGGGATCATCTAGTCCAACCCGCCCTGCCAAAGCAGGGTCACCTACAGCAGGCTGCACAGGACCTTGTCCAGACAGGTTTTGAATATCTCCAGAGAAGGAGACTCCACAGCCTGCCTGGGCAGCCTGTTCCAGTGCTCCGTCACCCTCAGAGGGAAGAAGTTCTTCCCCATGTTCAGATGGAACATCCTAAGCTTCAATTTGTGCCTGTTGCCCCTTGTCCTGTTGCTAGGCACCACTGAAGAGAGTCTGGCCCCATCCTCCTGACACCCACCCTTCAGATATTTATAGGCATTTATTAGGTCCCCTCGCAGCCTTCTCTTCTTCAGGCTGAACAAGCCCAGCTGCCTCAGCCTTTCCTCATAGGAGAGATGCTCCACTCCCCTCA